ATATATATATGTGTGTGTGTATTTGATCACAAAAGATTAGACAGATTAGTATCAGAACGATTCCTTTGAGGAACAGGCCTGACAGACTAACAGAAATCAGTCAAATTCCAGTCAGAGAGAGTTACTGGAGTGAGGGAAGTCTGGAGTGGACCTCCTGTAGTCGACCACAGATTAACAGAAGCCAATGAATGGATTCTTCTGAGGAACTTGTCCAATGACACGTTTATCATCACTTTACTGTCATCAAGATTTTATTTTCTCCTCAAAATGTCACCCATGTTGAAGGAGTTTGCTGCTTTTTTACCTGGTCTCAAGGTCTCACTGTGGGTTTAGTTGTGATTTTGTGGTGGTTTGAAAAGAACTGTGACCCCAAATACTTTCATCTCAGGTGAGGTGGAATGTAAAATAATAATAATTATTATTATTATATTGTTGGTTACAGTTAAAGAATAAAAAGTTGATAGTGTTGAAAATTAACACCAAATAGAAAACTTGTGTTAATGGATTGTAACACTGGTGATTTTGACTGATTGGGTCTTTATTTCTTTCAGTTCATCATCAGTCTTTCTTCAGTCCTTTTTCCACCTCAGTTGGCGTGTCCCCTTTAAAATATGTAATGAAGGCACAAATATAACAGCGGCAATATTTGTCTTTCACATCTTGTATGTCTTTTTTATGTTTTTCTATTTGAGCTTCAAGGTCTTTGTATTTTTCTTTAAACTCATTAAATTCTTCAGCTTGTTTTCTTGCTTCGTCCTCATGAATCTTCTTCATCTCCTTCATTTTTCTCTTATAACATTCCTCTAATTCTTTTCTTGCCGTCTCATCTTGTTCTTTTCTCTTTTGATCTTCTTTTATTTGGTTTTCATATTTTTCTTTTTCTTGCTGGTATTCCCCCTGAAGCTGTTTAAATTTTGAAGACTCTTTTTCCTTCTCTACGTCCTCTTGGTTCCGTTTTTCCCACCACTCTTGTCTTTCTTTTTCAAAAGCTTGTTGTTTTTCCTCCATTTCTTTTCTGACCTGCTCCAGGTTTTTATCAATGATCTCCTTTTCCTTTGATTCAGACTTGATTTTTTCCTCCAGAGCTTCTTTTTCTTGTTTCCACTTCTCTTGTTGGTCCTCTTCCTCCATTTTCTTTCTCCTTTCCTCTTCTGCTCTGGCGTTTTGCTCTTTGCGTCTCCGTTCTCGTTCTTCGTTTATGTTTTCCTCTTTTTGTTTCAGTTCTTCTGCTTTCAATTTTCTCTCCTTTTCATTTTCTGTTCTTTGTTGTTCTATTCTTGTCTGCATGACTTTTATTTCCTCATTGTGTTTTTCCTCAAGTTCTTTCATCCTTTCTCTCATCTCTTCTTCTCGTTCCTTCAAGATTCTCTCCAATTTTTTCTGTATTGCCTCTTCAGCCTCCTGCAGCATCTCATTGGTGTAGAAGCTGTTTCCATTCTTCTTCACCATTGAATCTATTTTTCCTATCAGCTCACTGACTTGTGTTTTGTTCTGTTTATTATAATTATTGAACACATGGTATCTTCCTCCACAGTTATCAATGAGCTTCTTGAATAATGCATGGCTATCATTTTCAATATAATCTTCAATGGACTTGTCCTCGTGTTCCAGAGTATCTCCTCTTGTGAAAAGAATGATGGTGAACTTTTCAGAATCTTCCCCAAAAATCCTCTTGATGAGGTTTAATGTTTCCTGCTCCTCCTCTGTTAATCTGCCGATGGGTATCACCAGCAGGAAGACGTGTGGTCCTGGAGCCAGAAGACTGGTGCATTTCACCAACTCTTCATTAGTTCGGTTTCTGGGCAGCCTGTTGTCAAACAGACCAGGAGTGTCGACCACAACAACAGAACGACCGTCCAATTCACCTCTTTCTTTTTGGCAACTTGTTGTGGACGATAATTGACTTGATGTAGCTTTAAAGACCTTTTTTCCCAGAATGGTGTTTCCTGATGTGCTCTTTCCACTGCCAGTCTTTCCAATCAGAACAATCCTGAGACACTGGCTCAGCTGATCAAGATTTTCTGTAGAAAAATAAAGAATAGAAAGAGTATTAAATCATCTTAACCAAAGGGACAATGAAAATATAAAATAAAAAATAGAAAGTTTCCGAAAAAATTTTTAAGGATTCAAATGAAATGGAATGCAGTGTCTGAAATACTAACATCCATCAACATTTTTCGATAAAGCCCAATAGTAACTAAAGATTTACTTTTGCCGTAATCTGACAAAAGTGCCTACATTTTGATATATAAACTCTTTAAAATAGTAAAGTCAAAATGCAGGCATGTAAAGATGTCCCTGAGACAGTCTAGCACATAACCGGAGGATAAGACCCAGGCAGGCAAAGCATGGAACACCATAAATAAAGTGCCTGGAATAATATACAGATCTAATATCTAGATCTAATATACACATCTGTTCCAAATATGGACAGGAGGTCCCACAATCAAAGCTGGAGACTCCACCAAGGGTTCTGGAGAACATAGGACTGGGATACAGTGGGACTTCTAGATCCAGAGTAACAAACAGGTTAGGGCTAACCAACCAGATGTGGTCATCAAGCTACTGAAGGCAATGGTAACAATGACTGGAACATCAGGAATAATTTAAATTAAAATTTAATCTAACAGTGAAGTTTTTACCTGAGGTAGTCTTCTTTATTTTGAGCTCCTCCAGTTCAACCTGTAGCTGAGATTTGTCTTCCATTTGGCCACATGCCAGTGTTTGGTTTGTATAACAGCAACAATTCTGTCTGTCAGAAATACTTTTTTCCACAAGCTCTAACAGTTGTGGGACCTGCCACCTGCTGTTGAAAACAACATATCTTCCTCCACAGCTCTGACAGAACTGCTGGATGTCCTTGTTTTCTTTTAGATACATGACAACATCTGGATGTTCTGGATCAGACTCCACAGTTAACAGAGTTATGATAAAGTCATTGACTCGAGAACTGAATGTGTCCTGGATGGTCTGTAACTCTCGCTTGTCTTCATCAGTGAGGGGACCCTCAGGTAGAACCAGGATGAAGGCGTGGACACCCTCAGGATCACAGAGGGAGATGGACCTCATTGATTCCTTTACCACTTCCTGCTGAGGTTTTCCATACAAGGCAGGCAGCTCCACCAGAGTAACCCAACGTCCACACACCTCTCCCTGGTTCGTAAAGCATTCTGAGGTGTTGGAGACTGAACTGAGCTCTGTCTGATCTAAAATGGCCGTGGCTGCTGAAGTCTTCCCTACTCCTCTTCTCCCACACAGAACCAGGTTTAAAGGAGGTCTGGTGTGTCCATCAGACGTGGGGGGTTCAGTGTCTTCACTTGTTGATTGTTTAGTGGATTGATGTAAACTTTTGCTCTCTTCAGTGAAGGTGAGAAAGTTTGTTTGATTCTGCTGCACAGTATTTTCCATTTTCTTCATCAACAGTCCATGGTCTTGTTCAAACATGAAGTATTTTCCTCCACAGTCTTTAAGGACTTTACTAACAGTGGAACTCATTTCTTTTCGTGTTATGATGGCCACTGAATAGCTGAAGGCATCTTGACCAAAGAACCTGAGAACGAACCTCAGTGTCTTCCTGTTCTCTTCAGTGAAGTCTGAAGGGTTGACTGACAGCAGCAACATATTTGGTCCAGGAGAACAAAGTTGCACACATCTCCTCACTTCTCTCTTCATCTTCTCCTCTGACAAACCAAACATGTCAGCAGTTTTCACTACGGTTAACATTTGTCCTTTCCATTCTCCACAGCAGGCCACAGAATGTGACTGAGGTTCATTAGAAAACCCTTCATACTGGATGACAAAGTTACCAAGTTTGGTCATTTCTTCATCACTTTTACCCAACAACACAATCCTGAGCGCAGAAACTGTAACACAAGAAGAAGAAAAAAATTGAAGGAAATTTTATAATTGATCAGCTAAATGTTGGATCCAGTTTTGTATTTTTATACTTTCTGATCATTGCAGCCTTACGTTTAAAACAGAGAATGAGAGTTAGTGTGAGTTATTGATTTGTTCTGGCTGTAGCATACATAAGTTGGTTATGTTCCCATGTCTGACGTAAAAGGTAACGCCTCCAGGGGTGTAACCAGGAAGAGACGTACATCATAAGGTCAATTCATCATTAAATGAGTAGAAGGTTTTCAGAAGTTTTGAGCTTTTCAGAGAGTCTCTGCTTTGATTCAGCCTAGGATAGACTGGGCTGTTTTTGTTTTGGTTTCCTGATACAAGATCAAGACTTTTGGCTCTGAGGCCCGCTGTGCTGTGTGTACTGGTGAAACTGATTGGAGCAGATTTGGAATAAAGATTTTTAAAGATATCCAAGTGGGTTTCTGCTATTATTCAGACTTCCATTTCTGAACAACACTGATTTCTACATGTTTATTATTTTAGTGGCTGGTGTGATGTTTAGTTAGACCACGCCTTCCAAAAATTGTAATTTATTCCAATAGTGGGGTGGATTAAGATTGACTATAGAGAATTGCATGCTGATTGGCTGAAATATGTGGAATTTAGTGCCAAACATTTGTCAACAAGGGCCACGCTGCCATGACCACGCCTTCCACCAAAAATTCTTTGTGTTTGAAAGTAAGTGACATCAACTTATTATCTGTGTTCTGTCAATTTGTTGCTGATTAGGTCAGGAAGGTCAGAGAAGGAGCTTTACAAGCAAAAAAAGGTCACTTCCTGTTGTCAGGGGGCGGGGCTCTGATGATGTCATGTGACCACATGGTATTGTCGGGCATGCTACATGGATGACTGGTGTATTTTTCCACAAATAATTTTTTTGCCATAGTTTTCTTGTACCGGCATGTTGTCATTATCACAAAATAACGAGTTAATTTCCTGATGTTTTTCTCGATAACGAGTTATGGATTTCTTGTGCATCATTCAGTAACCATGGATATGGCCCAATCCCCTCAGATGGTCACCAATAAAGTTTATTATATCAGCAGAATGTGTGCACTGTGTGAACACCTGCTGATCTGCAGTCGGGCCAGCCGTCTCTTTAAATGACAAGGGGTGATATGAAAGTTATCTGTTCAACACAAACAAATCACAACTTCAGTGTGTGGAATGATACAAAAATGACACTAAATTACACTAGGTTGCCTTCAGGCCCAGGCCACCATTGCAAAAGAGATCTGTGATCTCAATGGGATTTGGATGGATGGATGGATGGATGGATGGATGGATGGATGGATGGATGGATGGATGGATGGATGGATGGATGGATGGATGGATGGATGGAT